GTGTATAAAGAAGAAAACGGCGTTTTGTGCATACGTATGATGTTTTGGGACCTTCCTTTGTGGCCTGATTTCTCCATGAAGAAGTGAAAATCACAATAGACATTCATACACCATTCGATAGAGAATTTAAAGGGCTACATTTTGCACTATTTATCTTTGAGAAACGAGCAACTTTAATTTTTTGCCTAATTTCCGTCTGAATGCCCACTGTGCTGCCAGATCAATTCCAAGGGTGGATGCTTTGAACCTTCAACAATAAAAGATAATAGTAAAAAACAAACGAAAAACAAACAATAAGTGGCGAGCACCATTGTACAAAAGAATATGAAATAAATTTAAATAATCGCTAAGATTATATATACATCGATATAACAACAAAAAATAACAGTATAATAAGGGCGTAAGGGTGGGTGTTAAGAATTAAAAGAATTAGAAGAGGTGGGCATGCTGCTGACACGATTTATTTTGATTGTATAAAACGCTGTGCTTTTTCAATATAAATACTGACCTCATTAAGAATTTGCTGTGCACTATCATCAAAAGTTCCAGCATTTAACAATAAAACATCCACACTAATATTTGTCAAAAAATTCAAGTTAGTCAGTAAGTCAGTACGTTCAGACCGGTACAGCCTGCATTTGAGGAGATAGTGCTCTATATTTTGTACACCTTGAGAACAAGTGCAGTCAGGGCTATCAACACATTTATGTTTATATAAATAATAATTCAAAGGTGGAAAACCTGCCTTAATACGCATATAATAAATTTCTGCGCTTCTGCTTAGAAAAACTAAGTATTTAGGAAACATGGGTCTAACTAGTATTTCCTTTTTTAATACTTCTCTCATTTTCCCAACTTTTAATGTTGGAAAATTAGGTTGGTCTAAAACTAGCGCATGCCAATCATAAGCAACTTTAGAAAAGAAATCTTTTATCATGGGATTTGTAGATTCAACAGTTGTTCTGCTATTGCGCCGCAAAGAACAGTTCGAATTAAATGGTCGATAATTCAAATGCTCGATTATATAGATAGGGGAAAAATCTTTTATAATTTTAGCAAAAAACAAAAGACGCAAAATTTTAAAATGAGAACGAAGAGGTATCCAGCCAAGCAATTCAAAACATTTTTCTTTCGAGCTCCCTCGCATTGCTCCCAATGCCACCCGCGAAGCATCATATTGCATCGATTCCAATTTATTCAAGTTTGCATCAGTCGTCAATGAATAAATTATAGCAGCATTATTTAAGACGGATAAAACGCATGATTTAAATATAATATCAAAGGTATTCCTAACTAGTAAACGTTGATGGAATTTCATAAGACCAACAATCGAAGAAGCTTTAGAAACAATCCTAGTAACATGAGAATTCCATGAAAGATCATACGAAAGTATCAATCCCAAATATTTAACCTCATCACGTTCTTGTATGGGTAAACCATACAGCAAAAGAGGTGGTAGTGTTAGAGCAGTTTTACGATGATATCGTGTAGAAAAAGTTATAGATTCACATTTTTTTGGATTCAAAGAAATGAACCACTTTTCAGACCAGTCCTGAATTGTAACTAAATCTTTATTTAAATTGTTACTACATATTACAGAATTGGAATGATGGTTAAAAAGTATCACATCATTAGCAAATAGTTTAATCGAACTATCAATTCCAATGGGTAGATCATCAATATAAACAAGAAATAATAACGGTCCTATAACTGATCCTTGTGGGACACCTTTAGTTACATATCTCTTATTAGAGTTATGTCCATCAAGAACAGTTTGTATACTTCGATTCGAAAGATAATCTTTAATCCACTTTAGCGCTTTGCCTCTTATTCCTTTTTGATACAATTTAAAAAGCAAATATTCATGATTAACATTGTCAAAAGCCTTCTGAAAATCTAGTAGCGCAGCTCGAACAAACTTGTTTTCTTTTAAACCACTATTAATTTTATACACAACTTCAAGCAGTAAATTAGTTGTACTATCCTTTGCGATAAAACCAGACTGAAATACTGATAAAAGTTTATTTTTAACCAGATAAGAGTACAATTGTCTATGCACCAAATGTTCAGGAATTTTAGAAAAGGCTTGAAGCAATGTTATTGGACGATAATTAGATGGATCTAGTTTATCTCCACTTTTATGTAATGGATTAACAATGCCATTCTTCCAATGCGCAGGAAATATAGATGACTCAAATGATTCAAATATCAATTTTGTTAAGGGTTCAACTATTGAGCCTATAAATACCGTTTATCACCTGATAGACTTCTACGGATACAGCAAAAACAATCTTAAGTTAAAATAAATCTTTGAGATGATCAAGTTTTACCAACTTGACTTTTATACAGTCAAACACGATAAAATGCTTTTCTTTCGATCTAAAAACTACCCGTTATAGAAAATTGTAATAAGTTGCACAAAAAAGAATAGCCAACAGTACCTACTTAAACATGAAGTTACGGCATGAACGACTCTAAGATTTCTGGACTGAAGAATCAGCTAGATACAGCAACTTTTCAAATTCGGCAGTTGCTTGTCTTTGTTAGTATCGGAGGTATATGTATGTACTACGTTAGATAATCACAGAAAGTGAAGTTACACTGTAAAAAATAAAGTGGGCCCGGGCATACTGAATGTGCACATTTCGCTGGACTGTTTTTGCATACTGAAAACGGCTTCTTCAGTGTGCCTGTACACACTGGAATTGCACATATAGCTTACACAGACTTAACGAGAAAAAAGACCGACGAGAATAATAATTCTCCCGTTTTTTTTCCATAGAAAAACGCGAAAAGATAAAAATTCAGATTACACAGTGACGTGTTGCACATCACTTTGGGATTGAAATCAAGGGGGGGAAATCTCACTTTAAGTGCCTTTAAGTGTGTGTACCTCCAAGTTAAGTGTCACTTTAAGTGCCTGAGTTCTGAAGTGTCACTTACTCAATTAAGTGACACTTCAAATTCCACATCCCCCCCAGAAAATCAAGAATTTCAGCTCATTTCTGCTTTTTCCCCCTGTATGTTCCGAAATCTAAATTGTATGGACTGCAGTTGTTCCAGCTGATGAGAACCTGTTTGTTTTCATCAGCATAATGAAAAAAGTTAGAAAACATCTACAAATGTTAGTAAAAAACCGACAATGTCCGCGAAAAAACTGTAAGCAGTATTTACAAAAACTAAACATACATGCTTCTTTAACTTGTAATGCAAGAAAATATGGCACTTTCGAACTTTGCTAAACATTTTTTATTGATTTTAAATGGATGAGTACAGCATAGAAGAAAATAAAAACTACGTTTTTCATTGACGTCTGAGTGTGTATGGATAAATGAAAGTTATTTTCCTTTAGCGCGATTCAGTCTATCCGCTGACAGATGCTCAATGTTACCTGTTAAATATTAACATATGGTCTGCGTATGAAGATATTTGATGTTTCTATTAAATTAAATTTGAAAGAAAGATTGTGGAGTGCTGGGAGCGGTCTCATTTTTCAGCCCACACTTTCCTCTACATTAGGCTATGCTCAGTGATAGAAACAGAAAGATGGGTTTCTTCGACATTCAATCGGTATATGAATGGTTAGTGTACCTGAAATGCTTTAATTAACAAGGTTGTAGTAGATCAAAATAACCATAATTCGATGTGGATGTGATGAAAAATAATGAAACTGCCAAGGTTATGACAAAACCTTTTCACAAAGTGGCAGTTTATAAAGTGTTATACCTTTGAGTACATGCAGAGGAGTAAAGAAAAAAAAATTAAGAATAGAAAAGAGAACAAAGGAACAAAAAGCACGAACAACTGTATATAATAGCTGCAATGAAGATTACTCGTATTTGCACGACACTGATCACCTATATAATGACTTTATCCATTTAGTGTCGTTGTATGTTAGTTTTATTATTTTCTGCATAAATGTAGTTTGAACCAATCAAATAAGTTTTTGCTACTTTTACAAGGTTCATAATAACGTTATCTCAAGGTGAGACACGCATGTCCTTTGACACTTGTCTACAGCGGGTAACAAATTTGATCATACACCCCTCGCATTACTTATGATTAATATTTCTTCAAAACAGAACCACCTGCAACGATTGGAGTTTCGCTAAAATGTTACAAATTTATTGTAGTTTACTAGCAGAAGTACCCGGCGTTGCCCTGGAAATTTCAATATTACGGATATAATATTCTATATTGGAAAACGATGGTCTTAGTTTCCTATAACCTATCGATTTTCGATGTTGGAAATGCGCTCAGATCTCTTTCCCTATTTAACCTTTTTGTATCTTGGCATTTTAATATTACCACTCTGATGAATCCCTCTGGTGAAAGCTTTGAACCTAGACATGAGCAGGATCACTTTTCCTATGAGATTCTCATGACTGTTTTAAACAGTCATATGCACGGACTCTTTAGATAGGACACTTACTGTAGTACTCCAACAATGGGGGAGGATGCCAATTACCTCCCCGTAGGTGGAAACTTGCGGTCAAGAAGTGGCTCTTGATTCAGAGGCAGCGGACAGATTTTAAAGCCGGAGAAGAATACTGCAAAAATCGGATTAAATTCTCCAGAACTTTTAAAAAATTAGAAAGTTTTCTGCAATTTTTCAAAAAGTAGTGGGGAGAATCTCCCACCCCTCCTCGGGCGCGCGGGTCCCGTCTTGACCTTCCCCCGGACGTAAGGGTATACCATGTAAAGTTTGGCTGCACTGGCTCTTACAGGGACTGAATGCATAAACAAACATTCTTCTTTATATATTAGATATATGTTCGGTTATTTCCTCTCGTTCACTATGTGTTCTCTACTCTTATCCATCATGAGTAATGAGTAATAGAATTTCATCTCACTTATTGCCTTCTTCATTCCATGGATATTTCCATCATATGGCTGCTCTTCATCTTATACATTCTACTCGTTTTCTTTCGAGTATCTTAAAATCTCTTGTGCCCAATGGCAAAAAGCGCAGATTTTTATCTACTTTCGTTCTCGAGTTATTCAGAAAACAATCGCACGCACAGACTCCCCGGAAAAGGCACTTACTGTAGTAATTCAACAATGGGAGGGGGCAAACACCCCCCTGAGGTGAAAATTTTGGGTCGAAAACTACCCTACGACCTTCCCCTGGACGAAAGGGTATTCCCTGCAAATTTTGGCTGCTTTAGCTCTTACAGGGACTGAATGCATAGAGAACAAACATACAAACTTTCTTCTTTATATATATAGACTAGCGGAGGTACCCGATGTTGGTCGGAATATCTACCTATGGGTAACTTCACATGTCAGAAAATGAGAGGGATTGTCGACACGGGTGTGCTTGAAGGTTTCGCATTTATCACCACAACATGTCCCGCCGTGCATACCCGAGATAGGCAGCTGCGACTATATAACACGCCAACTCCGCTCCAAATCTGTCCCTGTTCCTGCAGATCCCACTCTTACTCCAGCTCCAACTCCATCATTCTAACGCTGCACGTCAGATCCACCGCTTTTTTTCACAGATTCCGCTGCAAAATGTATCGTTTTCTTTAAGGTCTCACTCCAGATCCGCTCCTTTTCTTACAGATCCCGCTGCACAGTCCGCCCTTTCCCACAGATCCTGCTGCAAAATCTATCGTTTTCCGGAAGGTCCCACTCCAAGTTAACCACCTTTTTTTTACAGATCCCGCTGCAAAATCTACCCGTTTTCTTGCAGATCCCACTTCAACTCCAACTCCAGTTCATCTAAGACCTAAAAACGCGTCAACTCGAGGTTAAAATTGCTCATCTATCGTGCATAGACTCACACCCACGCTGAAGCGCGATTGTTCAGCAGATATCGTGTGGATGTGAGTGTCTTGCTTCTTACTCATCCTACTTCCGTGTATCACACGCACACCATCGCGAACACATAGTAGTAGGTGGAGACTCTTAAAATCGGTGACAAATACCGTTTACGCAAACTGGATGAAATTTCACCCAACTTCCCTCTCTACCACCATCCTCGGCTATTGATACCCCATCGCGACCCTCCTCTGGATCAGTAGGTTAGCCATAGAAAGTTGGATGACACCAGCTATCACAGGAACCCAAAAATTACAATTCCTCAAACCTGGGTGAAATCTCATCCAGCCCTCCTCCCCCTCCCTTGGTCGCGTCAACCCTCTCTCG